TTTAGTCAAAAAGTGGTAAATGTTAAAAAAAAAATCGTCAAAAATAAGGGTTTAAAGCAAATTGCAAATTAAGGACATGAACAGACGCAGCTCAACGAGTTCTTTAAAATGGCCATCTCTGATTTTCCATAAAATGCGTTTTTCACCCCTAAAACTTCAAAAAACTATATTTTTGGAAAAACAGCTAATAAAATCCAAAATTTTGAGAATTTTCAAAAAACCGGAATATACATATGTTGTAGAGCTCTATTAGAACATAAGATGTCCCAAATTTCAACATCCTATTTTGATTTTTGAATCCCAAATTGTAAAAAAATAGCTCGAACATGCATAGGGCATGGTGACGTCATTAGCATTTTCGTGAATTAGAGGCACTTCTGAACATCGCATGTGAAAACAAATGGCACCACTAGGTTCCTGGGACAACGCTCGTCTAGAAAAGCGCATTTTTATGTCAAAAATAAAAAGTTGAAGAATTGACCTTTTTTCTTAGCCCTCGTTTAGTTATGTATGGTATAAACGATTTTTTATGCTTTCAATGCACACTTATCAACCAGCAGTGAATTGGGGTCACATATAACCATTACCATCGGATTCTGCGTGAAAAATAAGCCATAAAACATGTGCCGCACGCCCATGTAGTAGAAAGTGAAAACCGTGACCTTTCGTGACCTGACCTGACCTTGACCCGTACTTAGTATGACCCCTATACGCACATGGTACCTTCACTAGGTCTTTGAGGTCATTTTTGGTGAGTTTCGAGCAGCAGCTATCGATTCCGCTGTCCGTAAGCCTAATCATGCAAAACCCTAGAATTTGACCTTTGACCTGACCTTGACCCGAAAGTTGACCTCAATTTCAAAATATTAAGAGTACTTTGGGAAGGTCTCGTAGAGAGCTTTCGAACGCCGCCTCGCAGGGCTCGATGCGACAATTGGTTCTCGAGATAACAGGGGGGTCGGATCCGACCCCCCCCCCCCCCCCAGGCTGTCGTGGGTACGGAAATAGCCCAGGCGGTGCCGGGTTACTCGGCACTACGTTCGCTATTGATCCGAATCGTAATCAGACTTCCCCATTTGACCTGACCTTGACCTAACCTTTAACGAAGGTAGTAAACGACTCCTCCCCCATTAGTGAATGGTATCCAGCTAGGGGCTTATGTAGTTGAGCATGGGTTAAAATTGTCCGTCAATTTGCCTAAATTGTCGCAAGAAAAAATGTCCTTAGATTACATCTGGTGACCAGACCTGAGACCTTTGACCTGACTCCCATATGCCAAAGATACAGCACTGCGTAGAGATACAAGAAAGGGCGGAGCTTGGGTAATGAATTTTGACAAATGCCTTTATAAGTAGTTTAAGATTGTTTAGCTTCAGGCTTTCACCCTGTTGTCAGTTTGACGAATTGAAATAAGTAAAATTGGAAAAATCGGATATCAGGTTGTTTTAAATTAACATTCTTATTTTGTATACGTAAAAATAATATTATACACTGTATGCATAACGTTATATCATTATAAACAAGCTTTCCACAAAACGCTTGTGCAAAACGTGGTAACATGCGGCGTCACATCCGGAGGAACGGTCACACCCCAGGTAGAGGTGTCAATCGGAACTTAAATCTTCGGAATTCCGATTTTGTCCAATGTCCAATTCGGAATTCGGTTGGACAATGACGGCAGGCTTTGGACAACTTTGGACAATCGCTTGCTACACCTCAACATTTTTATAAAGTAATCGTTTTTAACATTGATTGCCTTTTAGAAAGCTCAGCTATCGATATGATTAACACTTTGAGCTGGTAACGATACATTAAAAGCAAATTAAATAACGGTGTTGAGTGTAAACTATTGCGCAGATATCGGACATCTTTGGACAAATGGCTAGCTTGGACATTTTTGGACGGACAGTCGACGTAAGTATTAGACATTGGACGGACATTGGACATACGTTTTCTGAAATTGACACCACTAACCCCAGGGCATAATAAAGGCTGCCGCACACTGGACCGCGCATGCACGTGGGAGTCTGCGAGTGTACATACAAGACTGCGAGTTAGGGTTTTGGCACAAGAACGTGGGTTATGCTGTAATCTGTAATGTTTTTTATCGTCTACATTGTCTGCATCATTTTCTTTTTAACACCGGCGACGTCGTCTGTCATTGCTCCGGTAGCTGTTAAAGGAAATAGTTCACTTTCCTGAAATTAGTATTTTGCTACGGATTTATGTTTTTTGTATGCTAAAAATGTTCAGAAAATAAAATAAAACCTTTTTGTAAAAACAATTATTTTCTATACTTTAATCTAGAAAGAGCTATCATAAAAACTATATTCTACGTAAAATGATGTTTTGACGCGGAAGCTGATTACGCGTTGACCAATCACATTGCGTGGTTCAAACCTACCCATGCTGCAATGGCTGTAAGCAGCATGCTGATTGGCTGACGATGACGTGGCTGCATTCCTTTCTAAGACACCACATTCCTGCGTAAGACACTCTTTTTGGAACGGGAAATTGAATATCTTTGCTTAGGGTGATCGTACCGTACAAGCTTATGATTTGTGCTAGTTAGTCTCAGCAAAAGCTACAAAACTGCTATTTCAGTTCAAAACCCCATGTTAACCCGCGCCCCAGTGGCGGTCTCAGCCAACTTCGCCCTAGTGGGGGGGGGGGAGCATATGTTACCACCCACCTCTAATTCAAAAACTAAAAGGGCTAGAAAGACGCGGTAAAAAGCAGTCGATAGCTCTCAATGCGTACATTTGAGAGTATGTATTTTGGTCATTTTTCATCTTAAAGCAATATTGGGGTCACTGGAGGTCATCAAAGGTCAAAGTTTGCCAAATGTCATTATATTTCTCAGAAAACATACATTTATCTCAGGAACTATAATAGCTAGAAAAACGCAGGGAAAAACAATCGATAGCTTTTGAAATCTTCTTTTCATAAGGTCATTATCAAAATTGACCTTAGGTCAACGGTTTAGCCCCCAGAGGGCAAAAACTCCAAAAATAGCTGTTTTTACGAAATGTGTTTTTCGACAATAACTTTTGACTTAAAAAAGCCACAACATTTCGATTGCCAGAATCGTATTCCTCTCGCCGAGACGCGTCGAATAAACTATTATTTGAGCTTTTAAGGTCAACATGAAAATTTGACCTCAGGTCAACGTCAAACCGGAAGGTCTTGACCGGAAAAGGTCTTGTTGCATATCATTCGATGCGTCTCAACAAGACAAACACAATGAGACCATCCCCAGCGTCCTATCTCTTTCCAATCGAGAGTTATTGGCATAAATCTGTTTGTAGCCTCAAATGACCTCGGATGACCTTTCTAGAGGCTATCAGCAAAAAAAAAAGACACCTTGGTTGTCACGGGTGGTCCAGATAATTGTGATTCTGAAATATTTGGACTGTTCCTATGCGTACACACGGATCCTAGAGGCATTTCCATTTTCTTCATTGACTTATAATGGTAAGTTTACGCCACTGACCTGACCTTAGGTCACGGATATAAAAAATCCGAGATATAAAAATTGTAGGCACCCATAACATCATGCAATCCACCAAGTTTAAAACCTTTCTGACAAACATTGCAGGCTGGACATGATTGGAAACTTTTTTAGGCTTGGTCAGTTAACTTGACCTGGTGACCTGACCTGACATGACCTGGGGTAAAAAATTTTACACCTTGTCCAAAATTGATGTACAAAAAGCTACCCCAAGCGGCGCGGCGTTACACGCCGCGGTTTTTTATTCACACCCAAAAAACGCGACAGGGTGGTAACATATCCCCCCCCCCCCCACTGGGACGAAGGTTAAAAATTAACTATTTCCTTGTATGAACTATGTATGATTTCAAGCTTTTACGACTAGACATTGTAATTCGACGTACGTTTTTTCGGCTACTAGTCGTTTATTGAAACGAAAACAATAAACGACTAGTAGCCGAAAAACGCATTTCCTTTAACTTTGTCCGACTGGATAGTGGGTAATATATCGCAACCTTTTCTGCTAGTAAAGTTTGAGAATGTTTGAGGCATGAAATTTATATAACTTGTAATACCAGTTTCTTTCATTACTTCTTTTTGGATCATGTTTCAAACATATTCTGGTCGTTGTTGATATTCCGTCCCAGACCGAACATCAAAGCTGGGTTGGCAAATTCGTCAAACGCAGATTAATTTTCAAGTAAACTATGCAAACTTCGAAAAAAAGCAGGTTGGATGCACTGAGCTACATACATTCTGGGAACGCTTCCTTACTGAAGCAGATACTTATTGCGCCGCTTATCGGCAAGAACAAAGTCTTATCAGAGAAAACTCGCAGACTCGCAATTATGAGGACAGTGAAAAAATGATGAACTGATGAAACTCGCAAGGGCAAAGTCTAGAGTGGAGCAGCCTTAGAAAACACAATGCATTGATGTCACAACAGTTACAGTGCCTCACATCGGTGCACCGACCCACCTGGTAAGACGACTCCTGTGGCGGGTCCCGGTGGTGTGTTAGAGCGGTCGGGCCGCCATCGGCGAACCAGCCGTCTTTGGTGGACCTGAAATAAGAGTGGAAAGGAATAAATATCGATCTCGTGCAAAGTTTGCATTTGCCACATTTCATTCATTTCAAATAAAAATAACTGGAGCAGACTTATCTTTTGAGTATAGATTGAGGCGGAGGTGTGTTGGAGCACTGCCACCATCTCTCTAGCGATGCAAGCCTGAAACAACAGTACAGAGGAATTAGTAAACACAGAAGAAAATGGAAAAGAAAAATATGAAATAAAATGAGAACAAAAAGCAGTAAGAATTTCAAAGTATTGGTGGATGTGAGCTGAACTGTCAGAGCCAGGTCGAAATTAGCGCAAGTTCATGTAACATTTGTATTGGTTTCACACCATAGAACTAGTTCGTTCTAAACTAGCGTTCGAATTAGTCCTAGTAGTAGAAGTAGAACTAGAACTAGTCCGAACTAGAGCTCGGACAGAAAAAAAAACACTCATCTTTCGTCCAGGTGTGAGGTCGCCGGAGATTCCCAATCAAGCTGGTTCACCAACCCGCGAGCTCCCAGGCGCGCATGAAATAAAAACAACACTGGAATCAGCATACCAAATTCTGCAAATCCTGCCACACACAAAGAGCTAGAGCCTAGTGACAATCAAAGGTGTGTTTATCTAGCTTAATGGGGCTGCTGGGTGCACCGACTGCAATGGCCATATGGCGCCCAGATCTAATGTGTAAGTTAATTGTGGTTTTAGGGCGCAACAACTGCCGTGGCCCATATCTAGTGTTCTTCGTGTGAATTCAGTTCACTCATAAGTATAGGTGTATGTCATACCTGTGAGAGATCTGGAGTTCCCGTCGGCCGCAGTCCAGTTTTGACCGGCAGATGGACGTTTCCAGTCTCGGTACCAACGGCGACGCACGTACTGCCGCACATGAGCTGTGGGAGAAATGACACGATGTTATAAATTGAAGTAAAATAGCCGCCCTACCGCAAGAAAAAGAAACAAAACATGAAGAAAAATACATGGTGATTATGTCGACGATTGTTTGATAAAGCGATCGCAAATATGGACTGCAATATGATTTACAAAGTAGTGTCACACCCCTTGTCGCTGCGTCCCATTCACTCTATTAATTTGTTCATTTTATTTCAAAACAAAGCAATGTACCAAAAACTAATTCGCACAAAATAATCGCCGCCACACTGACAAGTACCACAGCCTAAGCCTTTAAGTACAGATTATGAAGACACATCCAAATTCCTGTCGCGGGTAGGCCGTCACAAAGTGGATTATATCACGCCCCAGGTGCTCACCGTTCCGAGTCTGTTTGTTGACAGGTCGGTCCGACACCGGACCGGGGGCGCGCTCTCTCTCTCTCTCTCCCGGTGGTCGTCCAGCGAACACAGAGGGGTGGCGGCACCGCCCCAGACGGCTGATCACACAACGCAATGCTGAAACGACAGAAGAGGCATCGAGTCACTCACTTGGGCATGGGGACTTGGACATGAAAACACGGATTTTAGGACTAAAGTACGTATCGCTAAAGAACGTAGGACAAAAGTACGTATGCAAATGTTCGTACGCAAATATACGTAGGCGATAAAGTTCGTATGCCAAAAGTACGTACGCAAATGTTCGTACGCAAAAGTACGTATGCAAAAGTACGTAGTGCATAAAGTACATATGTCAAAAGTACGTACGCAAATGTTCGTACGCAAAAGTACGTATGAAAAAGTACGTAGTGCATAAAGTACGTATGCCAAAAGTACGTACGCAAATGTTCGTACGTACGCAAAAGTACGTATGCAAAAGTACGTAGTGTAAAATGTACGTATGCCTAAAGTACGTACGCAAATGTTCGTACGCAAAAGTTCGTATGCAAAAGTACGTAGTGTATAAAGTACGTATGCCAAAAGTACGTACGCAAATGTTCGTACGCAAAAGTACGTATGCAAAAGTACGTAGTGTATAAAGTACGTATGCTAAAAGTACGTACGCAAATGTTCGTTTGCAAAAGTTCGTATGCAAAAGTACGTAGTGTAAAAAGTACGTATGCCAAAAGTACGTACGGTTCGTATGCCAAAGTACGTATTGTATAAAGTACGTATGCTAAAAGTAGGGTATAGTAGTGTAAAGTACTGTCTCCACGTGTAAACATTTTCGGTTTTTACGCGTTTTAGCAAACGAGAGTTTTGCGCTTTTTTCGCTTTTTAACAGACGCTTTTGCGAGTTTTGCGAGTTTTTCGCTTTTTACGGTTTTAGTTTGTCAGTCGTTCAGAACAATTACAATTTCAGAAAAATTTCAATTTCAGAGAAAGAACATCTTTCTCCGCCCTTCGTGCGCTGTATGCCGTGGCCCTCTTGTCCCACAGGGCAGGCATCTGGCGCACGGCTTCTATTAACCCCTCGATTTTCGCTGTAAAGATAGTTAAAGGGGTATCATCACGTTACCCTATTGTTATCACCGCTATGACATCAGTTAATTATCAATTATCTGAAATGATCTGATATCGTAATATCTGTTATCCATAGACTCACTATGTAATTATTTGACATCCACATCGTTGGAATAGCAACAGAAGTTATTGGTATGGTTGTCTGAGTACTTGCCACGATCATTGGCTTAATCAAATTGCGTTTCATCGCTTTCCACACTTTCCATTGCATCCATTTCACCGTAAAATGGTATTAATAGCAGAAGGATTACCTTCTTAGCCTTGTCAAAAACCGGAAAACTTTCATTCGATCCAAATGTTTGGATAAAATCGCGCGTTTTTACAAATGAGAGTTTTGCGTTTTTTAAAGGTTTTACGAGTTTTGCATGACACAACCTGACGCGTTTTACGAGTTTTGCAGTTTTTTGATTTTATGAAGCCACTCGTTTTTCGATTTTTGACAAATCTTCCGCCGTGGAGATGGCACCGTGTAATTTAATGGTACAGATCAACGCCGGATCATGAAAAACTCGCAAAACATCAAAAAAGCGTTAAAACGTCATTAAAAACGCGCAAAACATGTACCGTGGAGAACGACCTTAAGTTGAGCCACTTTTTCTTTATTGCTGCTCTGTTGCCATACTAACAGGGAACTCATGATAAATTCATATACCAAATAATATAGCTATGTCCATTTCACCCATTTACTCATCGAGAAATTTTGCTATGCCTTGTAACAAATGCTCATTAAATAAAGAATAAGAAAGGTATTACACATTGATCAACTTAACCCAAGGGTGGGGTACGTACTTAATACCCTACGTGCATTTGCTATGCGTACTTTTGTCCGTGACGTACTTTTGTCCATACGTAGGGTAGACAGGGGCAAGTCGCCCCGCCGAGGTAAAACGCCTCACCGATGTTTCTCGGAACTGGCAGGGTTCTGGGGAAAGATCCTCTCTTCTGTTAAATGTGCACTATATGCTCATTATATGGGCAGACTGGAAAGTAATTGTGATAATTCTCTAGGGAGATATAGCCAAAAATGTGTTTGTTGAGTGATTTTTATGCTTGGTTGTCTGATTATACATCATCGCGTTCTTTTGTGGTCCACATCACCATCAGGTTAACAACTTTTATGTATTTTGAACCACTGTTGTCTAACGCTTATGATGTCGGGTTGGTTGGTGTTAAATTATGTCTTGCTGGAGCGCAAGGCGTTGTTCGCTGACCGAACTACGTGATGGGGCAAAACGCCCCAGTAGGTCGCGGGGCAAAAAGCCCCATGGGGCGTTTTACCTCGTGTGTTGTTCGGACTACCCACTTCCTAATGTTCGGTAGCTGGCGAACAGCAAGTTTCTATGCATTTATATGTGTTTCTATCAGCAACTGTATGGCAAGGGAAGTACTAGTATATTGTTAACTGATTTGCATTGCATTAACCCTCGCCGGCACAGGCCATTTTGAGTCCTTCGACGGCACAAGGGGGGGTGGTGGTACGACCCCCCCCCCTCGCGTTTGGCCCCTGATTGAGCTAGAGCTTCGCGGAAAAAACGAGCGTGTTGCCCGTCACGAGAGGAAGCCGATGATACCCAATTTTAAGGTCCTAGGTCATCGGGTGACCTTCCAGGTCAGGTCAATGACCCGAAAGCCGGGAAAATCGGGACCTGTTAGAAAGTCGTAAAGTGTGGCTGCGTCAGTGTATGTGGTTTTCCGGGGTGCTGATCACGAATATCGTGTTAGTTTTGATCAGAGATGATGTCTTTAAGCATTTAGACCAGGTCGGGTCAGGTCAGGTCAGGTCAACCGGTAGGGGTTGTGACGGGTATTCGTAATACGTGTCAACCGCCTCGGATAGCTTCGTAACATGTTACGAAAGCACCAAAACTACTTCGTTAATGTTCAAATGGTTGCTAAATTCGAATTCAGGTCCAAAAACTAGCCTAAAAACATGTAAAACTCGAAAAAGTGAACCGAGGTCACCCGAGGTCACCAAAGGTCAATGACCTGACCTGACCTTCAGGTGACCTTGACACCCACCCTAATGCATGGGAGCAACATCAAATCACATGTTTGAACGTTTGAAACCACGAAAAGCTTGCAAACGCGCGGCTAATGCGAGCCGACATGCGCCGAACCGCGATTTCGGCCAAACATGGTCACAGAAAAGAGATCACAGGTCAAAGGTCATTGGGGTCAGGGTCATGAAATTTTCAGGGTAGGTGTAAAATTGGTCAATGCAAGGGTACTGAAAGTTTCGTCGCGATCGGCCGCTTTTTACGCGAGTTATTCGTGAAAAACCTTAGGGGGGGGTTGCATCACCCCCCCCCCCCCTTGTGCCGGCGAGGGTTAATTTATTATTTGGCCTTATGAGGCAGGTGAAAAACCTGGTCATACAATAGTGTCATAGCTGAACACTTGATAGGATGGAAGGTGTTACCTTCAGTGCCGTGCCTCCAGCGGTCTAACGGACCTCTCATATAAGATTTAGCCAACTACCATGTTCAATCTTTAATCTAGTGGAGGATGGGGCTTCTTGCCTCAGGCCGTGGGGCGGTTTGCCTTGGGGTTGGGGCAAAATGCCCCATTTGCAGTTGCTTCACAAATCACTTCCTAGCTGGGAGTCCGATCATAAGTGAATGAATTTGAGGCGTGGAATTTAAAATAAAATGTCCAAAGAACACATTGAGCACAAATTTGGCCTTCCAGGTGATGTAAGACAAAAAAAGGTACCTATGTAGCAAAATAAGTTATCTGGGGCGTCTTGCCCAAGGCTACTTTATACCCTACGTACATTTGCTATGCGTAGGCTTTGTACGTGACGTACTTTGTCCATACGTACTTTAAACCCTACGTACTTCTGCGATACGTACTTTTGTCCGTGACGTACTTTTGTCCATACGTACTTTTTACCCTACGTACATTAGCTATACGTACTTTTGTCCGTGACGTACTTTTGTCCATACGTACTTTATACCCTACGTACTTCTGCGATACGTACTTTTGTCCCTGACGTACTTTTGTCCATACGTAGTACGTACTTTATATTGTACGTACTTCTGCGATACGTACTTTTGTCCCTGACGTACTTTTGTCCATACGTACTTTATACTGTACGTACTTCTGCGATACGTACTTTAATCCTACGTACTTTTGCTTACGTACTTTTGTCCTACGTACTTTAGCGATACGTACTTTTGTCCGTCACCCGAAAACACGCTGTGCCACATCAATACAATCCTGCCCATAGATGTCGCTAGCATACAGCGCCTGAAGTTATGCTGCGCCGCGTGGTTACAATCCTGCTCATAGATGTCGCTAGCGTATGACGCCTGAAGTTATGCTGCGCCGCAAAGCCTCCAGCGGCCGGTATAAAACATAGCTTTGGTCGACAATTGGCAGCCTTTTACATGCAGCGTTGGAGAAATATGACGGCGAAAATAAAGAATTGTTAGGTTGTGACAGCTTAACCCTCGCCCGTATAGGGGGGGGGGTCAAACGGACCCCCTTCGGTTTTTCGCGAATAACTCGCGTAAAAAGTGACCGATCGCGACGAAACTTCCAGTACCCTCGAGTTGGTTTTACACCTACCCTGAAAATTTTGTGACGCTGACCAGAGTGACCTTTGACCTGTGACTTATTTCTCGAGACCATGTTTGGCCATCTATATCAAAATTCTGAGAAATATATTTTTGTAAATACTATTGCTCTTAGCAATCTCTGAAAGTTTCAAAGCGATAGGTCACTTGGTGTAGCTATGGCAGACATTGAAACTGTTTGAGGTAGAACCGCCGTTTTTGAGATATTCGCGAAAAACCACAGAGGGAGGGGTGTTCAAACACCCCCTTCCAGTAGGGCGCGGGTGAAGAACTGATTGTTAACCCGCGCCCCGCTGGACTATTCAGCCATACGCACCCTGCTGGGGGGGGGGGGGGGGGCAGATTCTGCCCCCCTAACTTCCGAACCAATGGTCGTAGAAAGACGGGGAAAACGGATTCGAGAGCTCTCAACAAGGCGGATCTTAAGAGCCCAAACTTTTTTGCTTAACTAGGTCAGAGGTCAGATCAAGGGTACAAAATGCAAGTTTCTACAGTACCGGCCTTGCACCTTAGTTGCCGAAGAATGGACTGAGACTGATTGGCCAAAACGTGTTCTTAGGCTACCAAGACAATATTCGTTGCATACAATATCATGCAAAGGCCAAAAGGTCAAGGTCAGGTCAGGTCACCAAAAACGATATATAGAAAAGGGCATGTGCGACACATGTTTTATGAGTCATTTTATTCATAGAATTCAATAGGCACACTCAATAAGTGATATGGATCACATCTGGATGAATTTCAGGTCAAGGTCAGTTGAAGTGAGGTCAAATTTTGAAGCTGGTTGTTAAGGCCTAAAAAGGTGCCTATCTGATGCAGTCTTTCACGGCGAATCGTATGGTGCTATTTTTGTTTCCGTACATGGTCTAGAACTTCAAAAAAAATATTTTTCAAAAAATTGTGTCGTGACGTCATACAATTTTGAATAACTCCCACATTTTTGAACCGATTCTTTTAAAAATTGGTATGTAGGTGCACATAGATAACTTCTCTGACATATATTCCGGTTTTTTCGATACACTCAAAATTTTGGATTTTATCATTATCCCAAAAAAGTCAGTATTTTGAAGAAAAAAAATGGGCCAAAATCCAAAATTTTCAAAAAACCAAGACAGCCATTTGATAGACAAAGTAGAATCACGTATAACCTTTTTGTAACGTCTTAATTCCTTTTAAAATGAAGAAGTTAGCGGCGTTTGAAATTTTGCTGTTTTTTCGGCGAAAATACATGACGTCACTAAAACGTCATTTTCTCAATGAAAAATCTCCGACGGATTTCGCTCAAATTTTCAGGAAAGGTTTTACATTAATGTATGATAAGGCACTGAAAGTTTGACGTAGCTGGCGTAACGCGTTTAGAAGTTATTGGTGAAAAACGGGAGGGGGCAGATTTTGCTCCCCCCCCCCCAGCGGGGCGCGGGTTAACCCTATTAGTGGCAGGGGGGGGGGGTTGTTTTCATCCACCCCTCAGGTTTCTCGGGAATATCTCCGAAACCGCTGAAGCTACGATGCTGAAATTTTCTGACTTTTCCTAAAACTAAATTGGGCACATTCCCTGATATTTCAAGTTCAAAACTTTACCAGGGGCGGCTCCAGAGCACTGGGAATTGGGGGTCCTATTCGTGAAGCGAGTCATTTGGGCGAAGATCACGATGCTGATGTATTATAACTGTATGCACCACTTTTACGAACAGTGAATGAAAGGTATCATGTGATAACATATACAAAGTTATTGTGCATCCTCTTTTGACACGTTTTTGCTATAATAGGCGGATCCAGGCGTCCAAAAAGGGGGGATTATGTTTTACCTCCCAACATAGGTGCCCTGACACCGCCTATGCATGACCAATACAATTGTAGTCGTTCTCTCATAAGAAAATTGTAAGATAACAAGACCATTACCACCCTTTTTAGAAACAGTACCAACAAAAACCTTATTTACTATACTTTTTGTGTACCCCCAATCTCAATGATCTGTATCCGCCTATGATTTTTGAAAATGCATATTTTTAGGATCCATGTGAATTCCTGGTTCATTCGCTATCGATCGGCAAAAGTTGCGTTAAGATTGGTTTGGAAACCTGGCCGTGATAAACAGTCTAAAATGTATCTGCAATTTGCCCGTTTTTACCCCCCTCTACCCCCTATTGACATTTTTAATTTTTATTTTTTAGAAATGTTGATCACGTTGAGCGAAATCCAATGCAGTTTGAATTTTGAAAATCGGCCTGTTAGATCTCGAGATATCAGGGGGGGTCGTAAACAGCCCCCCCTGCCACTAATAGGGGTAGCCAGGAGCCTGCCACTAAGAGGGTTAAGACAGCAGAATTCATAACAAGGGTACACAGACACGCAGTTGTGAGTTGATCATATCACGCCCCAGGCACTCACCGTTGCGAGCATGACAGGTCGATGGGACGCGGGACCGGTGGCGGGGCCCGACTCCTCTCCGGTGGCCGTCCAGGCGACAGAGGGGTGGCGGCGCCGCCTCAGACGGCTGACCAGACAGGCCGGCACTGAAACGACCGGAGAGGCATCGAGTCAACCACTGGGGCGTGGTGACTTCGGAAGTCGGCGAAAACAGGGCGCCCGGGGCGATCTGATCAAGGCTCTTGAAATTCACTCGCACAACCCGCGTGACATATATCATGTGGAAGGCATACAGAGGGGGGACGCCGGTGAAAACAGGGCGCCGGAGGGCATATTAGTCACGTGATATTTGGAAGTTCTCCCGCTTCATGGGCCTTCTACATGTAAAACATCACGTGTGAATTTCACGAACCTTGATCAAATCGCCCCAGGCGCCCTGTTTTCACCGTCGTCCCAGAGGGGGAGAAGTTCTTTAATAGTCACGTGACGCAACATGCCCTCCGGCGCCCTGTTCTCACCGGCGTCCGTTAATTCGAGGTGTGGATCAGCTGGAAACAAATCAATATCGTTACGAAAATTGGGTACGCTCAGCTGTTCCGGACAGTTTCTTGGCTACATTTGTCACCTCGTTAGCCATAAAACATACTTGAAATTATTATTTAAAAACAAAAACATAGCGCAGTCGCATAGTTTGAGACACGTAAATATGATAACGAAGATATTATAAGAAAATATTACATCGAATATAAAAATGCCTTTCAGTTATCAAATCTGATACACTGTTTATTAATGTCTGCTATTTATCACCAATAAATGAACTTGGAATTACTGCATCGTAAAACTTTCATGCAATATCAGGACCCAATATGCAATTCAGGACCCAAGGAGAGGCTGCCAGAGATCCAGACTGCACTGGAGGGTGTCCTGGACACTCTGGCCACCTACTTTCTCCAGAACGGCATGAAGATAAACGCTGCAAAAACCGAGATGATGGTCGCCGGAGGCCGATCGGCGCTACAGGCTGCCGAGAGGGATCCGGTCCGAGTGCAGTTCCTGGGAGAGACTCTGCAACCGGTGTCAACTGTTAAAAATCTAGGTGTAATCTTTGATAGCCGACTGACCTTTGAACCACACATTGATTATATCGTCACCAAATGTTTAGGCGTTCTTGTCGGCCTGATGCACGCCAGGCATGTGCTTCCTCCAAGTGTACTTCCGACTATACTGGACGCCTTAGTCATGTCACATGTGCGCTATTGTAGTCAGGTATTCGGCTGTGCCAGCAAAACGAGCTTAAAGCGACTACAGAAAGTGCAAAACTTTGCTGCCAGAGTGATATCTGGCAGACGGAAGTATGATCATGTGTCCGACGTGATTAGGAATTTGGAGTGGCTCCCCGTCAGTGCGTTGATTGACATGAACGACGTATGTCTGCTACACGGGGTGATTAGCAGGGGTGAGCCTGAGGTACTGCGACAGGACATATCGTACAATAGAGATGTTTCCGAGCGCCAGACTAGGCAGTCCGGTCATTTACATGTACCGCGTGTTCGAACCAGCCTTGGCCAAAGAACTTTTAAGCAGCGAGCGTGTAAACTGTACAACGAACATGTTATAGGAACGGAGCTTCAGGTCATGTCTGGTCCGCGCTTTAAGAAAGGTATTAAAAGTCACCTAGTCAGCTAGATAGATGGATAGGCGACCATACAAACATTTTAGCTGTGCTTTTAGTTTTAGCGTGCTTTTATACTTTTGCAGGTTTAACTGTTTATGTGTCTTTTTAACGCGCTTACTGTTTTGACGAGGGCTCGGAATAGCCACCTTGAGTGGAAGAGTGCCGATGATGTAAAATACAATACAATACAATACAATATTACATCATTCCTTTACGTACAGGGACCCGCAGTTGCTTCTGTACACACTAGTATTTCAGCGTATTCTTTGCCTGTGACACCGTTGGAGGCGAATTGGGAAATGATTGTGTACTTATTAAAACCACCATCTGAAGGGCTTTAAACTGATGTGCTGCTCTCCTAATTCAGTGAACTTTTTATGGCTATATCAGCAAAACATTGTTTTCAGCGCTTTTTCCTGCCCCATTCCTTCTGAAACCTGGAAACGCTTATTCCATTTACTCCTGCCATCTGACGATGGTCGTGCTGACTACTAGTTCCGGTGCTAGTTACTGCTCCAGTTTTGCACCCGGCACAAACTCAGGCGGCGCCGGGCCGTGGCTCGACCAGGGGAGGGTCGGACCGAGCCGACTGCCTGGGGCGCGGTTAGATCGGACGCCTTGCTGGGGAAGGGGACGGGAGTGAGGGGGAGGGGAGGAGGTGGTCACGTGGTCCGTCCAAGCTCGCAGACGGCCTGTCCTGCGCCCAGCCATGTTCCGTGATCCAAAATGGCACGAGAGCTGTGGAATGCCTGGAGGAGACGCTTCGAAAGCGAACTTCAGCAGCACTAATTTACCATATTCTGTGGAGATAAATGAAAATTATCTTAATGCAGAAAAAATTATATGCCTAAGCTGTATAAGCTGTATCTTTTTAAAAGTTGTAAATAGGATTATTTTTAGGGACTTATAGGCTCAATGTCCCAAAATTTGTCGATTTGGGTGGGAAACGACATCCAAATTAAATTCATTTTTCACTCTTACCACCAATATTTAAGAATAATTGTCCACTCCCAACCAAGAAAACTTAGGATTTTTTACCAGGAGCAGTTGTGTGGATGCCAGGTTTAGCATCAAACATTCTACACCCTAGAATAAAATACATGTTTTTGTTGTTTCTCACTCCTTTTAGATCTAATCGAATCAGCAGTTTTCTACCTCCCCCCATTTTGGTGGGTATTTTTCCCCTCTGACACCCATGACAAAACTCAATTTTGGGACACTGTATAGGCTTCGTATACACAGTGAATTGTGTTACATTAAGCTGTTTCGCTGTTATGGTTACTAACTGACTAGAGTTATCCTTTTTTCTCACAGGGAATGACAATACAATAACAATACGAATAAAACAGACGTTTCGCACAAAAAAGTGCCTCAGTCAGTGGCAAGAAATAAGTAATTACCTAGGCATACATGTTTTCTTTCGATAAAATCGATGAAGTAGTTATTTCTATTTTTAAGATATATTTTCAGCAGTTTTTAAGCACATCATGGAAGCTTATAAACATTTGTGTATTTTATCGGCAACCCGGCTGGCCAGACCGAGACGGTGCCGCATATAGTTCTCATCGATGTTAAACCTATACACTTATTTTTCTCCACTGACGAAGGCACGTTGTTGTCCGAAACGTTTGGTTTTATTCGCATTGTTTTTTATATTATCATTGTTCGTGAGAAAAACATACCCATATGGACTGGTCTCAGTTCATGTAGAAATTGTTGCATATTAATAACACAGATAAAATGAATATTAGCCCTCGCCACACATATAAGTAGAGGTAAGTAGACCGCGCCCCCTGTTTTTCACCAATAAATCGCGGCAAAGCGAAGGATTGCGACGATTCTTTGGTGCCCTGGAGTTAATCAAGTTTACAACTTCCCGGAAAATTAAATAGCCCTTATAATTTTTACATCTTGTCTGAGAATTTTAAATCCCTGAACCAAATTTCCTTTAACCTGTGATTATTTTTCTCAAGATCATGTCAGGCCGGAATAGCAATTGAAAGTCAGCGCACATCTGTGTGTTTCCATAGTCGTTTCGTGATTAGCAACGTGACAACATGTGAAATATACTATCTAATGTTTGTCTCATTGATTGTTGTGGCCGCAGGGCTGCGGAGTCGATGGATTTTCGGCGACTCCGACTCCGACTCCGACTCCGGCTTTCAAAAACCAGCTCCGACTCCGACTCCGACTCCGGGCAGAATTGTCGACTCCGACCGACTCCAACTCCCGACTCCGACTCCGCAGTCCTAGCAGGCCTGCGGAGTCGACAGATTTTCGGTGATTCCGACTCCGACTCCGGCTCGGGTTTCTAAAATCGACTCCGACTCCGACTCCGACTCCGGTCACAACTGTCGACTCCGACCGACTCCGACTCCGACTCCGACTCCGACTCCGACTCCGCAGCCCTGGTTGTGGGTGCCAAGGTCACGTGAAACTCAGGTTAAGGTCATTTACTTGAAATGATCTCGTTTAACTTCCTTAAATTTACACCTTTTTACTGTGGTTTTTAGGAAGTGTTGGTTTGAAATTTAGCACTCATTTTAGCATTTGAAAACTAGGCATACTTGGGTATCAGTTATAGTGCCTATGCAATATGTTGCAAGGCTGTAAGTGCTGGTTAACATTCTATGGATAGCCGGCAGAACGCCTAATGGGTGATCTGGCGTGACCCGTCCTACCCCAAATGCTTTGACACATCATCTTTGATCAAAGCAAGTGCAAATTCGGAGTCAGAAGCAAGCCAAGTCCCAGCAAACTTCACTTGTAGAAATTCTAGCAGGACCCAATTTTCCGTGCTTTAGGGTTATTAACCTGATCTGGGAGCCGGGAGGTCAACCAGTGACCTAGGATCTCGGCATTGACCAGGACATAAAAATAATTGGCTTTCTCTCGTCAGCGATGACCAGGGCCCTCAAATCATCGGATTTCTTTCGTCACGAGCAGCTCGCTCTTTTTTTCAGCGAAGCTCTGGCTATTCATGAATGGCTGAGGATTTCTTCGCCCCTCCGCTACATATAAGACGCTGAAAAGAAATGCCTAAGTGGGTGAGGGTTAAATATCGATTGTTTTTTTAAGTGCCGAAGCCCGAAACACTTTAATTTACTTCGATAGCAGTTTTTAAGACCAACGAGCTCGAATACTACTTCTTGAACAATGTAAGCACCACATAAAATGAATCGTAAGAGAAGCGGCTCAATATTAAGGAGCTATGAGACACTTAATAAAAAACGACATAGATTAGAAACTGCACCTAACTTGCACTGGTTTTCAAACCTTTTCGTTGCAGACTGGTAGATTAAATTTTAGGATTGATTTCAGCTGATGCTCAAATGGAGCTATTCATTCGTTCATTCATGCGACCATCCAATTCCACTCATAAAAGAAGCCAGTGACAAAATTGTTCATTTTAGATAAGTGTGAAATACAAACTCAATAAAAGTTTAATGATACGGCAAATTTGACAGCTTTTATAATGAACAGACAAATAACTTTAACAAATCAAAGTTGAGAGCCCCAAATAGGGGAGAGTGAGGTAAGATGAGCCAAGGGGCAAGTTTAGCTACCCCATGTTTCTCAGCTCCTATGGCGCTAATTGACTTGAGCTTCCATGTGCCGTTCGCTTACGATGCTGCAGTCTTTAACGCGAGACGGCAACGTTCTAACGCTCAACACCCGGTAACATGTGGTATCGCCCCTGATAACTAAGACATGTTTTGCCTTTAAAATGAGATGGTTGTTATCTGCGGTGCATGGTTATTTTCCTTAGCGGGTGTCATTAATCGAAAATGGCCACGGGTGGGGCAAGAAGAGCCATTTTCACCTGGGGGAAGATGAGCCGGATAAGCCATTGTTGTCTCCGCTGTCGAAAACTAAACTGAGCTGCGCTTGTTTCTGCTGAATAAAAATGGTAGGAAATTGTTTTCCTTTGTTGATTACAAAAGTTGTAAGTGATTTGCAGATTATCTGAAGGATAAAATGATTTCTTCCGTGATAGAAAATCGACGAGCTATTGGAAGGCTTAAAAGTCACTTTTTGATGGAGGAAAAAACTTTGCCATAAGTATCTATGCCATGGAGTAAATAAAAGAGCCCACTCTTCGCCGCGCCCGGGAAAAGAAAACGTTCGCTTTTTCTATCCAGCTCAACTTTCCCCACGACGTGTCTCAGCTTACCCCGCCCATGGGGTAAGATGAGCAACGTGCAAGATGATTTTTGACGTAGCCTTTTCAGTACAAAAATAAGCGGTATGAAACATTTCTAGCCACCATTACATGCGCAAATCACCACTCTGTCCGTCCAACCCGTAAACGCAGAAAAATGATCAGTAAGTTAGCCTGTAGCTTACGAAAACAAAAAGCGGCTCAACTTACCTCATTCTCCCATACGTAACACAATTGAGGGCATTTTTTTAGGCCATCCACAGTATTTGTCAACAATTGTGTTGTTTGGGGGACTGGGGAGGGTGGTTACTGGCTCATAATCTGTCCCCCCCCCCAAAAAAAAAAGAAAGAAAACGAAACCGATCATCCGCGAAAAGAACTATTGAGCTCGAACCAAGATGACGAATCGATTTATAGGTATGCAGGATGACTAATGATGCCACTTTTTGACTTCTTGTGTCAAATAAATTCCATCATCTGGATAGCACGTCAACATTCTATTTGACATTTTGCAACAAACGTATACTATTTGGCGCGACTAGCCTCATAAATGTTCTGAAACTAAAACCGTTTCTTCGCCATTAACTTGAACCACGTCATCCCAGCTTATGCACGACAAAAATAAAATAATGCTTCAGGATCACTGGCCTGAATTCCAATGCTTAAAGTTTACTCAAAACCGGTGTGGCTGAGGCACTCTTCGCTACATCTCGTGACGGCCACCATTGTGTTGCATTTTTCGGTAAGCTATAAGTTAATAAGGAAAGGATTGGTGAGTGGGTTGAAAACAGCCCTCACCCTCCACCCCCCTCCCCTCCTTCTTCTGGAAACATAAGTAACCGAAAGATCTGGCGATGGTTTATCCACCCCGTCTGCCGCTGCGCTGCGAGACCTCGATTCGTTTGGTATGTGGCTTCCTGAGCGGTCCTCCCCGTAGGCAAGGTGAAAGGTCATGGCCTGTATCAGAAATTTATACGTTGCTGAATATGTTTTATAGTTCTTCCAAGGCCTTGGACACCGCTTTATTATATCGGATAAGCATTGCAATTTCTTGTCAATCAATACATCTAAAGCAAACTTGATCATAATCCTATACTGCGGCAATTGTAGTTCTGCTTACGGTTGCCTCTTTATGATACGGGCCACCACCACCTCCACTGCGCTGGAGCTCTGGCGTTCTACCCCTCCCCGCTACGGACCGGCCCTCGGGCTAGGTGTGTTAGTACTGAGCGCAAACCTGTAGTAGTCACGTGACTTTCATTCACGTAGCGGGAACGGAAGCTATAGGCGATACCAAGGACGGGCTCTGGGGAGGCAACCGGCGCGGAAAAATAGCACGATTGTAGTTTTGGAAGAATATCTGTGGCGGTAAGAGGAATTATACAAAACATACGTCCTAGGAGCAAAAATGTGTTATTCCTCCATACTTTGTACTACATTTCCTTTCTCCAATGGTGGAAACTTAGCAAATAATAGCGCAATTCTAAATTGGTAATATATGTGTACAGTAGCAACTGCGGGTCCCTGTACCTACTGGTCCATAATGTACAGCTATTGCGTAATTTGTACTGGTCACAAAATGCTACCTTATTTTCAAAACAGCTCAACACGGCGCCCTATACCGCCTCTCATCGATCAAAAATATCCGCTTCCTTACCTTTTAAAGACAACAGCGGTATTTCAACTAAAATTCGTCACCACACCGAGTGCCGCCCGCCCTCACCGAGCGCTGGTAGCGAAGAGGTCGCGCGCGCGACGGCCAGCCTCGCTCCGGCCGACCGGCCGCCGCCCGGGGGCAGGACAGACGCAGGGGCGGCGCCAGGCACGGCGACTGGGGTGGGCGGCAGTGGCAGTCAGAGGCGGCGCCAGGCATGGAATCCGGGGGGGCATGGACGGAGGAAGGGGTGACAGAGAAGTGACGCATGTTCATTCCTTCTCTACTTACTAGCAAAAGGTGTTATTTTAAATATTGTAGAATTATCTAGCACAAAAGATCACAACAGAGTAGGCATGGCAAAAAGGAAGATAGACGGTTATTACTGATATGACGCCATATCTGGTAACCTAAGACAAGTGGAGGAAAAAACGCAATTGGTAACCGTATATGTGTCCAAATATACTCATCCACTTCATTCTAAGACATTTTCAGAGGTCAGGAAACGTTGAAAACACACGCAGAAATCGCTTTAGATTCGAATTTTATACTGCAGCAATGAAAAAAATACAATACTGAGTAGGATATGATAACATTTTATTATGCATTTCAGTAATTTCATTTCTTATACCTTTTGTTTTTAGATGGACCATAGAACATCGGACAGATACATGATATAAAATTTTCGTGACCTAAGATGACCTGGCCTTAACCTGAAAATTCAAAGCACAAGTTTGGTAGGTAACCTTAGGGTACCTATCTAAGTCATAGGGCAAGGAGTGCGGAAACCAAAAATGAGCGTGATCGGACCTGTTAGCCGGCGGTCAGAGCCTAAATTGTAAACAAACAAAAATGCCGATAATTTTTGCTTTGATCTGACCCGTGACGTCATCCGTGACCCCCAGGTCATTGAAATTAGCTTTAACTCGACAGATGTTCCAAGGCTATGAGACGCCGTTTGAATTTTGACGATCAGGGGTGGAGAATTAGAGGTTTTGCTTTTGGGGGTGCTCGAGCACCCACCCCCTGAAATACAAGTCACCATATAATAGTGCTCCGGGGTTGTTTCAATTACGTCTGAGACACAAAATGCCTTGCGTAAGTGCATATTTACGTCTGGACAACGAGTTGCGTTGGAGAGGCCGGAAATAGTGGCGATTTCAGGACCGCAAGAATGGACCGTAATTGGAATGATTCTTTTTTAAACCGTGCACTGTTTTCGGCCGAAATTTAACAGTTAGGGGAGAGTGGTGCAGGAGGCCCCCCCTTAAGCTCAGTTGCTATTTTTAGACAACTGATAATATTTAAGAGCTAACGTGTGCATGCGCTGTGAGCATGCATCATTTTCCCATACATATTTGCATTCAAAATGAATCTAGGGGGTACACAAACCGTAAACTTTAACATTTTGGAAAAAGTTGCAAAAGGGCCTCTTACACTATGGGTATGGTAAGACGCCCCCCCCCCCCTCGGGCGTTTAACAAGGCAAGTCGACTTGTAAAAGACGTTTTGCGAACACAGCTGCAAGGCCTTTTATTTCGAAAAGCTAAGCAAATACGGTGTTATCGAAACCAATAACACTTCTAAAGCGCTCGAACAATGCGAAAACTAGCACAACCAAACGCTGATGACCAACGAAAATTGTACCTATTACCTCTAGAAAAAGAAACAGAAAAAAAAACAAAAACAAACTCCTTGAAAAAAGAATGCCACGCCTGCCGCAGGTGCAGGCGTTTTAGCATCGGGGGCGTTTTTTATCGGGGGGGGGGCGTTTTATAATCCTCGAAGGGAGGGCCTCTTAAAAAAAATGCAGTGTTTTAACGTCACAATATTTATGGTTTATGAGACATTTGCAGCGCACCAGAACATGGTCTATTCTGAAGCTAACATGTGACAATTTCGATGAGATAAGATTGCATTTGATAGTCATTGTTTTTTCAGATATATAAGGGTGATAAAGATGCATATATCTAGCAAGTAAAGGGGCAAAAACAGAAACAGGCTTACCAAAAGTCGCTGCGACGCACCTGATACCTCAGGTTTCGTGAGTTGTTGTTTCAAGAGGGCTTCTGCTTTACAAAAACATTAAAAAATAAATAACATTATTGGTTTGGTAAAAAAAGCGATGGGGCCTCTTACCGACCCTGGGCGTCTTACACGGATCTCCCCTACTACCAAATTTTTGTTATTACGTTTCCACTAAGAATAAATGCCATCAGGGCCAAATTTTTACTACTATTGCATTTTGTCAAGAAGCATAAAGCATAGACCCGGGAACAGGGGGGGCAGCGGGGGCGCTTGCCCCCCCCCCCCAACTTGGGAGCCGAGGGGGCGGCGCCCCCTCAACTTTGAGGCAGCGAGAAAAGATCTTTCCTCCCTTTTCCGGACTTCTTTCCTTCTTGTTTCCTTTATACATCTACACATCAACACAAGGCATTTTCCTTGCCATCTACAGGGTGTCCCAAAAGTAAGGCCATGATTTAAAACTTAAATATCTCGAGAAGTAAGAGTCCGAATCACTTCCAATTTTAACACGTGCAAGGTACTGTTATGTTTTGGTTCGTTTGAGTGAAATAGCACACAATCAATGGAAAACGCGATTTATTTTACTGCGATACGTTCAGGCCGAAAGAGTCCAAAAAGATAACAAGTATGGCGAGCGCCGCGCCTCGTCGCCCGCGCCAGCTCTGCCGCTCGGCGCGCAGTCAGCTGGCGGCGGCAGAGGCGCTCACAGGCATGTAGCCGGGGCGGCCAGCGGTGGCGGCGGCAGGGGCGCGCGCAGGCGCGGCCAGCAGCCGTGCGGGGGTTGGACCATAACACAACACCTCCCCCCCAAGACGATCACATCGTCTTCACTCCAAAGCGCCACAGCGGACCCTCCGGGGTCCGGGCGCACAAGGCCACCGCAGCGCGGTGCAAACGGCGGCGCCTGCGCTCTCTTCCGCGGCGTCTCGGGCGCTTCTTGCAGCGGACGCGCCCGCCGTCGCACGGGGAGGTCCGCGGCAGGCGTCGCTCCGGTGTCGGTGGCGGCCACGGGTCGCGGTCAGCGGCGGCTCTGGTCACCCCTGGACTCGGGGCCACGAGCGGCGGCAGACGCGAGTCGCACTCCGTATCCCGCTCAGCGAGCATAGCTGCGACGGCAGCTGCGTGAAGCGGGTCCTCATCCACCACCTCGACCGAGTGGAGGGTGGTGTCACCGAGGTTCGTGTCACCGCGCCGATCGGACTTGTCACCGGCGGACACGCATCCCTGCGGCGTACGGAGGAGCGCGGCGGCGTGAGCCGCCACCATTTGTGCGGGCGGGTCTCCGTCCCCACTCCGTACTGGCAGGCCTCCCGCCGGCGGCGGCGAGGCTCCGTAGGCGTCAGCCAGCTCGGTAGGCTGCGCCGCATGACTACAGCCGGCTTGGCCGGTGCCCGCCGGCGGCGGCGACTCGGCGGTGCTGGCGGCTGGGCCTCCATCCGTGTTTCGAGTTGGCATGCCTCCCGCCGGCGGCGGCGAGGCTCCGTAGACATCAGTAGTCTCACTCAGCTCGATGGGCTGTGCCGCACAACAGTCGGCTTGGCTGGTGTCCCCCGGCAGCGGCGACACGGCGTAGCCGGCGGCTGTACCTCCGTCCCTGGTCCGCGTGGGTAGGCCTCCCGCCGGCGGCGGCGAGGCTCCGTAAGCTGCAGCCGGCCTGGTAGGCTGCGCCGCGGTACACCCGGTCCGGACAGTGTCCGCCGGCGGCGACGACACAGCGGTGCCGGCAGCTACGCCTCGGCCCGTGCTCAGCGTTTGTAGGCCTCCCGCCGGCGGCGGCGAGGCTCCGTAAGCTACAGCCGCTGCATCCGGGCCTGCAGGCTGCACCGCAGTGGCCCCGGGTTGGCCCGTGTCCGCCGGCGGCGGCAACACGGCGTCACCAGCGGCTTCGTTTCCGTGGCTGGTCCGCGTTGGAAGGCTTCCCGTCGGCGACGGCGAAGCTCCGTGGGCGTCAGCCGGCTCTGTAGGCTGCGCCGCGGTACATCCAGCTCGGTCCGTGTCCGCCTGCGGCGGTGACACGCCGGGGGCTGCCTCCATGGTCTGTGCCGGCCAGCCTCCCGCCGGCGGCGGGCAGGCTCCGCGCGCGCCAGCCGGCTCGGTGGGCTGCGCCGCGGTACGGCCGGTGCGGTCCGTGTCCGCCTGCGGCGGTGACACGCCGGGGGCTGCCTCCATGGTCTGCGCCGGCCAGCCTCCCGCCGGCGGCGGGCAGGCTCCGCGCGCGCCAGACGGCTCGGTGGGCTGCGCCGCGGTACGGCCGGCTCCTCGGCCCGTGTCTGCCGGCGGCACCGACACGGCGGCGCCGGTGGCTACCGATGGGCCTCCCGCCGGCGGCGGCGAGGCTCCGTGCACTCGGTCCGTGCTCCAAGTTGGGATGCCTCCCGCCGGCGGCGGCGAGGCTCCGTAGGCGTCCGTAGCTCCGTCCGGCTCTGTGGGCTGCGCTGCAGTACTCCCGGTGCGGCCCGTGTCCGCCTGCGGCGGCAACACGGCGGTGCCGGCGGCTACCGTTACTGGCGCCACCACCGGCGAGTCGCGTACTCTCGTCACTGCAGAGGTCGCCACTGGACGATCGGCCGCGGCGGTGGCCCTCTCGTGGCACACTACCTCAAAATGTCCTGGTTCGCCACACGCACGACAGATGGCGCCAGCGGCGCGACACGTGTCTCCGCCGGCGTGCTGGCGACGGCCACAGGTAGGGCAACGCTCAAGAAACTGACGAGATGTTTCGGCGGCGGCATGGGCGACATTCGGCCGCCTGCGGCCCCTCTTGTAGGCCGGCAGGTGGGCCACGAAATGTCCCTTGGTGCCGCAGAGGTCTTGGCACGTGGCATGGGCACTCCACGTTTCCCCCACTGTCACGGCGTGTCTGAGCGTCGGCTCAGAGTCCTCCAGCCTGCTCACCGCTCTTGTCTCACTGTCGCGCACACTGCACTCGACACGGGCTTTGCACGTCGAGGTCGACTTCAGGTGCGGGGCCGGAGTCGCCGACGCCGGCAGGCAGACAGTCCGGCGGGCGGCGGCAGCTGGTCCAACGGATTCATCAGCGCCTCGCTCAGCCCCCGACTCTGACACTCCGGCCGT